ATCTTTGAGTAAGAGGAAGTAGTAGGATTTTAAGAACCCTGGGGTGGATATCTTGCCTCGCGTCTCAAGCAGCATCCAATAGCTTTCGGGTTTACTTAAAGAGTTGGAGATCCACTACGAGGAGCTTTTTGCATCAAAGAGAGCAAGCTAAAGGTTGTTCGATTCATTATCGAATCACGCTACAAAAGTATGACTTTCAAACCTTGTATGCTCACTTAATAATAAGGATCATGTTAGATTTAATTAGACGATCCATATGAATATTTCATGTTCTCTACATGCTTAGTATTTTTTGTACATACATGTCTTCCGCTGTGTATTATGCATGTAGACATAACACGATTTCCTTCACAGCCAACATTCATTGCATAACCTGCACAAATATCAGGAACGCATGGAGGAAAGGAGTATTTGAAGAAGTACTCGGAAACAGCACTTGCACCATCCAAACCAGGGAAAGAAGTAACAGAGCAAACACAAGTGAAGGAACTTCGTTACAGCAAGGCACTCAGGAAAGATGCACCAGAGAGTTCGAAAGATCCTTTTCGGTTTGATGTGTTGGCTCAGTTAGCCAACATCCCAACGAGGATTAAGTTGTTTGAACTTTTTCGTTTATCTCAATCAACAAGAGCAGCTCTTTGTGAAGCTTTGGTAGATAATCAGGCTTTTCTCACTCACTTTCCACCGAACCCAGCTGGATCAACGTTGGAAGAAGCTTGCCCTTAATGTTGTCAGGTCTTTCAAGGAAGAATGCCACGCATCACCTTTTCTCAAGAAGACATGCATGTGAGGAACCCAAAACATGATAGACCATTGTACTTCACGGGGCATATCAGCTCCATTCAGGTAGACAGAATTTAGGTTGACCCTGATTCTGCTTTGAGCATCATACCGTTGAGGCTCATTCATCACCTTGGAGTCCCTTTGCATCGTTTATCAACAACAGGAACCACCATCTATGGCTTTAATGCTTCAAATACTCGTCCCCTTGGAAAAATTAAACTCAAATGCTAGATGGGTGACTTGAAGACATACGTTAGTTGCTACGTCATTGATGTAGAGACATCTTATAATTTGTTATTGGGTCAGCCTTGGATCCATAACAATCTGATTATTCCATCAACTCTACATCAATGCATGAAATATGTAGATGAGAGTGGTGAAGTAAAAACAGTGGTTGCAAGGAAGTAACCATTCAAGGGGGTAGAGAATTATTTCACAGATTCTATCTATTACCTTAAGGGTGAGCTATTTGAAGTACCACTGATTGAAGAACTAGATAGCAGTAATGAAGCCGATACCGAGTTTGAGCATAAACAGGATCTTGTTTTTAATAACATTGTACCCGTCGTAATCGGTATTGAAAATCTGGATGTAAATGATCTTGTCTGTGAGGATAGTGGAATTATCTTTAATAATAATGATGATTTAGCTTACTCATCATGTGTTGAATTGAATTCTAACATACCAGGTACAAGCACCGGCACATGGGCAGATCCTCTACCCCGATTATATGCTAAATCAAATTTATACATGCAGATTCGATCATCATTGTGACAAATCGGCAACGAATTGAATCTTCATAAGCAGTCTTTATAGTTCCGTCTAAGGTTAATGGCTAAAAAGACATAAGAGTGACGGTCCGTCGCACACTCTCTTGGAAGAATCAGAGGAGGGAAAAGATCCGCAATTCTCGTATTTCACACCAACAACCCGAAAGGTCATGAAGAAAGTGGGATATGATTTCATTCGTAAAGAAGGTTTAAATTTCGGTAAAGGGATCCGGACACCAGTTCGATCCGCTTATGTCCTGGAAGGAAAGTCGGAGGATTACTATCATAAAACTCGTAGTGGGTTTGGTTATGAATCTCCGTCTTTCACGCAGTGTTTTGGAGCCAATGGAGAGTCAGATGATGATTCTTGTAGCTCATCTTCTGAATCCAGTTGCTGGGAGTCTGACACTAGTATAGGACCTGTATTCAAATAACTTATGGCCAACATGATCTCAGCATCTCCAATAGAAAATCAAGAAGATGATCAATTACCTCTGCTTGATAATCTGCTAAGCCGACAGTAGGGTATACAGTGGGAACACCACTTCGAACAACGCGAACCTCCTACTGACGACAAAGTGGTAGAAGTGAACATGGGAAATGAGATTAATCCTAAACCCATATTCATAATCGATAGTTTATCGCCCGAAGAAAGAGAAGAACTCATTACTCTAGTGTGAGAGTATATTGCCTTTTTTGCTTGGAATTATGAGGATATGCCTAGTCTCAATCCTCAAGTGGTTATGCATCACTTCAATATCAAACCAGATGTCAAGCCTGTTAAACAACAGAAAAGGCGATTTCGACCCCAAATTATGGAGGGAATCGAAGCCGAAGTCAAGAAGCTCATTGAGTTAGGATTTATTCGCGAAGAGCAACATCCTGACTGGGTGGCCAACATTATTCATATTCTAAAAAAGAACGAGAAGATTTGAGTGTGCATTGACTTCCGAGACTTGAATTCAGCTTAACCTAAAGATGATTTTCCTTTACCTATCACGGACGTTATTATTAACAACGTGTGCGGGTTTGAAAGGATGTCTTTTATGAATGGATTCTCAGGGTATAACCAAATCAAGACGTATCCTGATGACGAAAAGCACACGTCCTTTCGAACACCTTCGGGGATATACTGCTATATAGTAATGCCCTTTGGATTAAAGAATGCTAGTGCTACATACCAACGTGCCATGACCTCCATTTTCCAAAGACATCTATGGAAGAATGTAGAATATTATATGGATGACTTGGTCATTAAAAGTCATGACAAGGGAAACCATTTGTACAACTTGAAAACAATATTCGACCCCATGCGGATACATCAACTTAAGATGAACCCGACCAAGTTATTTTTAGGAATGGCTAGCGGTAAATTCCTTGGGTTCGTGGTCAAAGCTAACAGAATTCATTTTGACCCAAACAAAGTCAAAGCCATCTGAGAGCTACCACCTCCTAGAAATCTCAAGGATCTTCGGGGTTTACAATGGTGATTGGCATACATTCGCAGGTTCATTTCCAACCTATCAGGCAAATGTTAACCATTCTCAAGGCTAATGAAGAAGGGAGTATCCTTTATATGGGATGAAGCTTGTCAGAAAGCATTTGAAGAGATTAAGCAATATCTCTCCAATCCGCCTATATTAGTCGCACCAAAGTCAGGTAAACCTTTCTTGATATACATCCGGGCTACAGATCATGCATTGGCAGGACTCTTAGCACAAGATGATGAATATGGCCATGAGCAAGCTATCTACTATCTCAGTAGGACTTTATCGAGTGTTGAACCTTATTATCCTTTTATTGAGAAATAATGTTTGGCACTGGTCTTCACAGTCCAGAAGATGCGACATTATTTGGTTGGGCAAACCATACATGTTATTTCCCAGATCAATCCTAATCGGGTATTCATAACATAGCCCAGCGCGTTGAACTGGCGACTCTCTAGATAGGCATTGTTACTCTCCCAATATGATATTCATTTCAAACCTCAAAAGGTAGTGAAAGGTCAAGCTATTTGTGACCTTATGGCTAACCATCCATTGAAGGGGAAGGTGGAATTGTATCAGGACATACCAGATGAGACATATTTAGCCAATGATGTTTCTAAAGAGAAGGTATGGTGACTATATTTCGATGGTACGACAAGAGAAATCCCTACTGGTCGAGTTATTGCCAGAGTGAGGGTAGTCTTTATCCCTCCACAAAATCTTGTGCTACCACAGGCCGTTTCTCTAACAGAGCCATGCTCTAAAAATGTAGCTAAATACAATGCTTTGTTGGTTGGCCTTGATATAGCTAGACAGCTGGGGGTTAAGCACCTAGAAGCATATGGCGACTCACAACTCATCGTTAATCAGATGAAGAGAGAATATAAGGTTAGGAATGAGGATCTCATCACTTATCATATAGCAGCGATCGCATTGTCAAATCTTTTGAGGGTTTCTACATTGACTATGTACCCCGTCTCAAGAATATTTATGCTGATGCATTAGCGTCACTTGCGGCCACATTGGCTCTACCTGAAGGAGCTACTCAACAAATTACTGTGACGAGCAAACATTTGTTCAAGTCAAAGTATGCATTGCAGATCAACATGATTCAAGATGAACCTGCAATGCTCGAACCTAAAGATTGGCGATTTTTGATCATTGATTATGTCTTATATGGTTTACTGCCTGGAGACATCAAGGAAAGAGAATCTATTTGTAGACGAGCACCGAGATTCTATTACGATTCCCAATCCTAGATTTTATACCGAAGGTCGTATGAGGGACTATTTCTTCGTTGTTTGTCAAATAGAGAAGTAAAAGAAGCTCATCAGCCTAGCCCTAAATTGTGGGATCGACTGCATAGATTGGGTTATTACTGGCCTAACATGGTATAGGACACCGTCGCTTATGCCAAACGATGCCACGCCTGCTAGATACATGCTAACTACCACTAGTGGAAAATCATGTATCGCTGACGGGCATTCTCAAATAGAGAAGTAAAAGAAGCTCATCAGCCTAGCCCTAAATTGTGGGATCGACTGCATAGATTGGGTTATTACTGGCCTAACATGGTATAGGACACCGTCGCTTATGCCAAACGATGCCACGCCTGCTAGATACATGCTAACTACCACTAGTGGAAAATCATGTATCGCTGACGGGCATTCCCGTCAGCGATGCCCCATTTCCCGTCAGCGATACGTATCGCTGACGGCGTCCCGTCAAGGATACGCCGTCAGCGATAGTCCCGTCAGGAAAGGACTATCGCTGACGGGCTCGATTTGTGCTTCCTATGAATCCCAAATATGTGACAGGCAGGGTTTTATACTTTATTATAGGGGTTTCGGGTGCCATTAGGAGTACAGGTTTATAGATAGTGCTTAATATACAAACACGAGTTTAGGATATAACTCACTATGATAGGTCATCCGCTCTATCCATGTCATCGTCCGCGTTTCCACTGGCGGATCCATCCCTACGACTCGTGCTCCCAATAGTATCATCTCCAATCTAACAACAAAATAATTTAAATTTAGAATCACATAATATTGTGTGTAATCATGTTTTACATATATAATAAGTATACCTGTCTGCTACTCTCTCCACTACCAGTAAATGCCTTTTGAGTGGCCAAGAAGTTCATAATCTGGCTTTGCACCCGAGTAGGAACCCGCCTTCTACAAGATTTCATTATTTGCCTAGAAACCATCGCAAAAGTAGCAGTAGGCTGGATCACTCGCATAAGCTCCTCTTGAATATCCTCCCACATCTCCTCGGGAATCTGACCATCTAACATATTCATCACAGAGGAAACAAGTTGCATCGCCTGCTGAGTGCAATCCTCCTGCGGCATGTAAGAGGGCCCCGATGGCATAGTCGATGGTGTTGAAATCGGCGGAGGCTGGAATTGTGTAGACACCCTCTGAGCTCCAACTCCCATCCACCTGGTCCTCCCTTTTTTGGGAAGTCCACAAACTAAATGGCTCACATTATAATTCTGCTCTCTAGTCAGGGGCTCCTGGCTCTGTGCAACAACCTCAGAATATGTATTTTCCAGAGCTTCCTAAAAGAGGAAAAAATAAATTTAAGAATTGGCCTTTCAAAAATAAAAGATATTTACCTGAACAAGTAGAATAAAAGATGAAATAGTTCCACAACTGAGGAGGGCTAAGTGCTAATAAATGGTTGACAGTATATAAGCATTATGACAGGGTATCAAACTAAGGCCCTGATCATTGTCATTGTCATAATTAACAGATGCACACACAAACACCCACCCACATACCATCCACACCTACACCATACATAGATAAACACACATCCAAGTAATATCCATGCATACACCATACATAGATAAACACAAGCATAAACACACATCCAAGTAATATCCATGCATACACCATACATAGATAAACACAAGCATAAACACACATCCAAGTAATATCCATGCATACACCATACATAGATAAACACAAGCATAAACACACATCCAAGTAATATCCATGCATACACAAACAGAAACATAAATAGACACATGCGCACAGACACACACTCATCAACGGCGGATCCTAAGAACTTTCCCATCGAATTTCATTTTGAAAACAGAGGGTCTAGATTACATGAACCATGCAGTACTAAATTTAGAACGAATTATAATCACAAACTAGAGAAATCACAAACTAGATAAATCAACAGATTTTTATGAGACAGTATTCTCGCCACTATTCTTTTTTTTCTTTTATAGTGGAGAAAATCTCCAAATTTCCAAATTTCCAAATTCATCCAATATTATTGGATTCACGCACTGCATATGATGTTTCCTCATCGTTTGGAGACATTGGATCAAAATACTAAAAGTGAACGTGTGGAGTTCTGTCTGCTTCTGAAGTTACTAGACCATGCACAATTGATCAAAATATTTGTTCAAAAAATATTTAAGAAAAAGATACAATATCTTTGTGGTAAGGACCATAACACGATCCAATTAGAGTCAAACCTATGCGCTTAAAAAGTAAATAAATAGACCAAACACATTACGTCACATAAAATTATTTTAAAGCATGTCTTTGATACCAGAGGTAGAGGTTTCTGTACGTAAGTATAGATGTCACATGCCACTATTATAGCACTTGATTAAGACCAGATTAAACTCTACTCCATCAATTATAGCAAGAAATACTCCATCAAACAATTGATGGCCTTTGACTATCCTGTCCATCTAAACTTTATCTACAAATTAAGGGCAAAATTGGATATTGGCATTTTTAACTAAAAACACTACAGGTTTCATTTCCCTAGGACAGTTGAGCTAAACATTTTTCAGGCTTTCACTAGATCTATAGACTGAACCTGACAGATGAACAAAGAAATCCCTCTGTGGTTTAAAGCTTTCTTCCCTCGTTAAATTGTAACAAACAACATATCGAACATACGAATGGGTCATAGTAACTCGGCTAATAAGATGACCAAAAGAAGAGTGCAAACAATAAATTCCCAACATGATAACAGGCTAATAAGAGCTAAGATAATTAGTTAACCTGTATTTTCTTGGCCAATTCTAGCTTTTGTTTCCTATTCTCATCGTCATCGTACCCCTTCTTAAATTGAACCATCGTTCTCCTGTGCAGTTCTGGTAGTGGGATAAAGGGAGCGTTCTGAGATTTAAAAATATATTTATTAGTTTTATTTATCAAATATTCTAGGAAGCGGAGAGAATATATATAGAAGATTAAAAGACTTTATACCGTTGTCCTACAAAATTGATCCTCAATCTGGGCAAATGAAGTAGTCCCCGTATGATGATCATAATCTTTTTTCCATCGATTAAGTTTATTTCTCCTACATTTTTCCTTCAACATGAACAAAGAGAATTTTAGTGCATGGTATAATATACAATGAAATATATCACTAGTTTCAGATAAATAACTTGATGATAATTAACTACTATACATATTTACCTGGTGCTCCTCTTGGCCCCACAATATTATAAGTGCAGCTAAGTGCTCAGGCTCAACCCTCTTATCTCGCTTGTATATCCTCTCCCAGTTGTGAGTGAAACAATCAAAGCATTTCTTCTTTATCTCATGTCTCCACTCCCGAAGAGAATGCTTGAACTTTCCCTGGTATCCAAATAAAAATTCCCACCCTACGGGATTGTCTTCGATGTTGAAATATCTCTAAAAATAAAATATAGTTAAGCATGGACAATTGACAGAATTGAAAAATAATTATGCTAAATATAAGAATTTACCCAACAATCTCGATATATACTCTCCAGGACATGAAATGGCTGCTCCCAAGCCTCGTAATAGGGATTCACATTATCACTCCTCCGTATCAAACATCCAAGGTATGAGCTGAAGTTATTAGCCCATTGTCCGGTTGGAATCCCATTATGTCCCCATCTCACAATTGCTCGAAAACCATCCGGTGGTAACTTTTTTTTAAAGTCACTTCCTTGGCGTCCTTTCTTCTGGTAAAGTTTTTCTCCTACAAAAAAGAAATAATAGATATATCAACACTTTTATTTAATCAACACTTTTATTTAAGCTCTTAGAATTTACTAAAAAAGGAAGAAGAAAAATTCTGGAATTGATTAAGTTTTTGATCAAACTCACCAAATCTTTGTCTGATTTCATTTTTTGCATCAGACAAAATCTCATCAATCTGTGGGGCCCATTCATCTAATCTTTTTTTCGCAAGCATGTATTTTTCGTTCTGCTTGAGTCTGTACCCCTCTGCACATGCTGGTAAGGGCCCGCGCTCAATCCCAGGAATGTATGCTCGAAGTATAACTGGAGGATCTGCATGTAATGGTATGTGAGTCGGCTCTTCCTCACCCTCACCTATAAAAATAAAAGAAATAAATTATCATTGTGCATATATCATGAATAAAAATACGTAAGTTAAACTAAGTTATACCTGACATCTCTCCTGAACTCGGAGGCTCTTCATCAGTGGATTGGTATTGACTGGGGTTAGCTTCGAATAACCTCCTGTTAATATTTTTAGACATCTGCAAGTTGAATAAACATACAAATTAATATAACATAGATGCAAATTAGCTTGGCGAAAATAAAAACAATATGTATTGTTGCGTTACTAAATTTTTCATTTCACATCAAGTTTGTAGGCATTTGCAAGCTGAATATACAAAATAAGATATTACATATTTATATCGTCCAAAAGGTAATTGAGATACATTGTAGTGATATTAAAGTTTTTATTATACAATTTGCAAACTAAAAAAAGTTACATGAAGACCCGATTACAAATAATTGCTGTTTAGCTCCTATTAATGTCTGTGATAATATTTGGAATGTCTGTCCGAGTTGTTGGAGCATCCGTTTCAAACACTACGTTTTGAGGGTACGAGAATTCATCGATCGCTGTATTTGGCTCATTGAAGTTGTTTATATAGCTCTCGTCATCATCTTCATTCGTGGAAGGTTGAATATAAGCCCTAGAATCCTTGTACAAGACAACCCACTCGTCTTTAACTGTAGGATCTTTCACATAGAAACATTGTCCCACCTGAGATGCAAACATGAATTTTTCATCACTATCAATTTCTTTATCGAGATTGACAATTGTAAATCCAAAGGGATCCTTTTGAGTCTTTGTAAAACACCAACGAATCATGAACATCATGTATTTATGTTCATTTGGACCACCATAGCCGTAGAATATCTCCACCACATCTTCCAACCTTCCATAATATGTCATATTATTTTCAACTGGATTCTGATCTCTTCTGTTTGAGAAACATTCCCGTGAGAAGGTAGCCATGACACCACTATTCTGGGTGACCTTCGTATCATCAACCTCCATTGTGTGAAATTTATAACCGTTAACACGATACCCACCATAGTGAATTATAGCATAGTAAGGCCGCTTTGCGTGAACCTTCACTTCTTCTGATATTTGATTATTAAGGACAAGTTGTTCCTGGATCTAAATATATACAAAAATAAGCAAACTATTAAATCAATAGTTTCTAAGTTTTTTATCAATGAAATACAAATATCGCTAAATTTAACAATACTTACTTCACTATTCAACCAAGCAGGGAATTCCTTCATATGCCTTTCTTTAATGTCATGTACAGCTGTACTACCGGTAACTTCATTCTTAAGTTTTTCCTGATGTTGCCTATTAATGTGCATAAATTTAATTATTATTGTCAAAATAAAAATTTTGTCAAAATAGAAATTAAAGAGTAAATGGTATTAAAAATTCTTTTTAGATATTTTACCTCCGGTACTCCGAGAATATTTCAAGATTATTTATAACATATGCATGCGCTTGATCTAACAATATGCTAGCATAATTTTTGTTCAGCCCGCGAGGATAGAGAACTGTGTACTCCTTATTATCAACGGGTGCTTGAAGTTCAGTTTGTTCCCCTCTCATATAACGAGAGGCAAATAAGAGACACTCGCTTCTCACGTAACTTTCAGCTATTGAACCTTCTGGGCGAGCTCTGTTACGCAATTGACGCTTCATTGAACCCAAATATCTAAAAAAGATAATTAATCAGATATATATGTAAAGATATTGACATTTAATAGATATAAATATTGATAGGTAACGATTAAATTTTTCTAAATACTAACCTCTCTATTGGATACATCCAACGATAATGGACTGGTCTTGCTATTGCAGCCTCCTCCGCGAGATAATGTGTAAGATGAACCATTATTGTGAAAAAAGATGGAGGAAAGAGCATCTCCATTTCACACATTGTTTCAGAAATATTTTCTCCAAGTTTCTCAAAGTCACGGGCATCTATAACTTTAGAACAAAGCTTTCTGAAAAATCCACAAAAATCAATAATAACCTTCACTGTTTTTTTATTCTGCATAGTACTGCGTAGTGCCACAGGTAGCAATTGATGAAGAAGCACGTGATAATCATGAGTTTTAAGCCCTAATATTTTCCTTTCTTGCACCTGGACATAGTTCGATATGTTTGCGGAGTAACCCTCTGGTAACTTTATTGATTTGAGGACTTGACAAAATGTTTGCATCTCAACTTTCAACATTGTAATACGAGACGCAGGCAACTCTAATCGGTCATTTCCGATATTTTTTGGCTGCAGTTCCTCTCTAATGTTTAATGCAGTTAGATCTCGACGAGCTCGTAGATCATCCTTTTATTTATTAGCATCTTGCAACAGTGTGGAAAAAAGATTATCACAAATATTTTTTTCAATGTGCATAACGTCCAAGTTGTGACGTATTTTTAGCTCTTTCCAATAGGGGAGTTGAAAAAAAATGCTGAATTTTGTCCATCCTGAAGGTAATTTTACGACTTCAGCCCCATCACTCACCACTTATGCTTGTCTCTTTCGTTTTGGCATCCTTTTGTTAATACGCAAGTTCCTTACTCCGAGTAAATCTTCTTTCGAATAGCGCTTCTTTCCAAACCTGACGACAGGGAACATCTCAAGCAAATGTACAATCTGATCCCCACGTAATGGACGCGGAGCATCTCTCTTCTTAACAGTATCATCAAAAAACTTGCTCCATTTTTTAGTTCTGTACCTGTGTTTTATGTTCAACCACCTTCTATTAAACCAATAACAAAACTTTCGACTGTGCTGCAGATAAAGACCTTTGAATTCTGGACCACACACTGGACATGCATATGTTCCCTTTGTAGACCAACCTGAAAGATTCGCATAGGCTGGAAAATCATTAATTGTCCATAGTAAAATAGCACGTAGTCTGAAAGACTACTTTGCATGAGTATCATAAGTCATAACCCCTTCAGTCCAAAGTTGTTTTAACTCATCAATTAGCGGTTCTAAAAACACATCTATGTCATTTCCTGGTGCATGCTTGCCTGGTATCAATAATGAAAGTATCATATACGGTTGTTTCATGCAAAGCCAAGGTGGTAAGTTGTAAGGCGTTAATACCACAGGCCATGTAGACCAACCAGAACTCATTAACCCAAATGGATTGAATCCATCGCTAGACAAACCTAGTCTAACATTCCTGCACTCATTCGCAAACCAAGGAAAAGTTCTATCCATATGCTTCCACGCCCTCTGCATCAGCCGGATGTCTGATTTTACCATCATCAGAACGTTCTTCCATGTGCCACCTCATTTGCTTAGCAGTGTCTTTATTCATATACAACCGTTTTAGCCTTGGTATTAAGGGAAAATGACGCAGGACCTTTGCTGGAATCTTCTTTTGCTTAAGCATAGACCTTGTTATCCCATGTGTTGAATAATTTTTGCATTGTACCCACCGTGATACTCTACAAATTGGACACTCCTGAAGATCTTTGTTATCCTTATAGTAGAGGATACAATCATTAGGGCATGCGTCGATTTTATTGTAATCAAGTCCTATAACGGAAACAATCTTCTTTGCGTTATCATAATTTTCTGGTATGCTATCTTTTCCATTTGGAATGACTTTTCTCAGCAACACAAGCAACATATTAAAATATTTATCCGCCATTCCGCTAAGAGACTTTATACGCAAAAGACGCAGCATAAATGATAACCTGGTGAACTCGGTACAACCCTCATACAGATCATTTTCATTGTCGTTAATTAATTTCATTATCTGCGCTAGCTCCTCATGATCAGTCACGCAGCATTTCCCGACTCGTCAGCATCCTCGGCATCTTCAGATTGATCTATATTAGGAACTGTTAACATATCCGCGAGCATCGTATGTGTATCATCTATTCTCGTATCATCTATTCTCCCACCGGAAGTACCGGTATCCGCTATCAGTTCCATTTCTTCAAGACATCCTTCCCCATGAAACGTCCAATATTTGTACTCCTCATGAAATCCTGATATTAAGTGTTTCTGTAAGTCACTTTTATCCACCAACGCCCTATTTTTACACCAACAGCAGGGACAATACACGACATCACTATTTAACTTCCGTGGGTCTGCCAAGGCGTACTGTATGAATTGATTTATTCCATCTTTATATCGACTATCCCTCCATCTATCAATACGAGGAATATCGATCCATGATTTGTCCGGAACTATCCTCATATATAGATCTGTATGATATTAAGCATAATTAGATAATGTGAATTTTTATTAGTAACGCATTGTCTTTAAAGGTTGCGTTATCAAATTTTAATTATAATAATCTCGGAGGGAAAAGTACCAGAATATAAATTATGTGGGAGGAAAATCTAACGCTCATATTTGAAATAAGACAATTTAACGGCTGTCATAGGAAATGGACCTATCCCATTAGGAATATAGTAGTGTTTACAACTACCTTTATATACTTTAAGCGTTTTTATTTCTTAAAAATTTCGGCAGCACCTACCCGTAGTTCTCCGAGTACACTGTGCGGATGTTATAATGCGTATCAATCATCGATAATAAATCGATTATAAATCAATACGCAAAACAACATGCGCTTATTGTACACGGAGAACAATGCGGTACGTGTTATCGAAATGTTTAAGGAATAAAAATGCATAAAGTATACAAAGATAGATCATACACTACTGTATTCCTAACCTGTACGAGAAGGGGAATCCTCCCCGGACAGATCTAATAATTATTGCATGTATATCATGCTCCTAACATAAATCACGTTATTCTCTTTAGATGTAAAAAGTATTTTCACATCCAACTAGAATTACGTGAGTCTATATCAGAAGAGATTCACATCCAACATTATTAGACGGGAAACTAGGGGTAACGACTTTCGATTCATAAATCATGATATATAACATAATAAAACTTGTAATTACCACAAGAGAATAAATTAACCAAAAGAGAATAA